CAGTGAGTAACAACTGAGGATGGGAGGAAGATGGCACATATATGTGTGAATTTGCCATGTATGCAGACAGCATTATCAACCCAAAGTGTACTCTGGGTGTTGTGGGACTGTATCAGGCCATGATGTGTTTTCACTCCACCTTCTCTGTTCTCATGAGACTCCTTTTAAGCTGCTTAAGCAAATGGCTGTTCCTGACAGCTGACCCATCTTTTTCTTCCTCCTCTTGCATCCCATCTGCTCTGTTGTGCACAGATAAATTTATTTCCAGGAGTCAAAAGTTGGTTATCAAAATGTCAGCTGCACATTTTTAGGCTGTGTATTTGTCAGATTAGCTTCAACACCATTTTCCTAGTGTTTTTACTTTAGCCACATGCTTCTTGTGCCATGGTTATTTCTTGTTTTGAAACAGAGCCTCCTAATAGGTCTGATGTACAGAACTGTCATGGTTCTTGCTAGTGTTGGGATTTGTGTTTGCTTGACTGTCATCAGGGAGATAATGACCCTGCTTTATAAACAAGCGTATTCCTCATAAACTGCTCATTCCCGGAAAGAAAAAGACATTAGCAGTGAAATGCACTGTATTTGTTTGTTCCTGTGTTAAAGAACTCTGTCTAAGGTGGCAAGCTTTCATCAAAAATTGCAGAAATAAAAAATTCTGTATACAGTTTAAGAAGGAAGATTGCAAGCTCTAGATTCAGCACCTCAAATACTCTTCTTGTTTAATTTAAACCCAGGTTTTAAGCTATGAGTTTAGTTGTTCCATCATGACGTACCCCGAAGATCAAAGCAACGTGTGTACATAGCTTGTGTTGTGATAGAACTCAAGGGAATGTGAGCTGGAAGATTTAATGGGTCTGTGGGTGCTGCAGAAATCTTCCTTGGTATGGATTTAAAAGAAGCTAGATTTGAGTACTTTTTTATTTATGGGAAACTTTTTGGTTAGGCCGGAAACAGAGAGGTGGATTCTAAAATAATTGATAGCTCCATAAGTACTTTATTTGAAAAGACATCAAAATTAATTTACTGTTAAAAATTAGAGATTATTTCTTCCTCTTAGCCTGTATTTCTTTCCTGTGTCCTGTCCAAGCAGTCTGTAATTCATAACATGGCAAATCTAACTGGTCTCTCTGTTCTCTTCCAAATATGGAATCCAAAGTGTTATTTCCTTGCTGAAGCACAACTCTCAGTGATACCATCAGTGACTAATCTTTAATTTATGAACTCTTCAGTGTGGTTACTTGAGCTGGGGACCAGGGGATCTAGGCCAGCTAATATGTGACTCTAACACTCCTTGACAAATCCAGTGTTTTGCTTAGGAGAATGTCCTTCGTGAAAAACTAAAGGAAATCAGATAGAATTGTTCCACTGATTTCATGGATCTAGCAGAAGGGATAATCAAGAAGAAATGTTTTAAATGAGTAAATTCTATTTTCAATGTATTTGTATTTTAAATTATAGCTTAAAAAATTGAAATACAGGAGTTTAAATATTATAATTCTTTCTTAGTTTATCTGTTGGGTGTTGAGAAAAGAGAAAGGAAGGAAGAGCTCAAGACCTGAGAGAGTACATGTGAGGGTGAGAAGTGTCAGGCAGGAAATGCCATCTTCCTGCTGTGTGACAGCACACGCTGCTGTGCAGCCCTCAGTGTCAGCATCTTCCTTGGCCACGGGGAGAGTTAAAGGAAATTGAAGTTAAATCAAATTATTCACTCAGTGTATCAAAGCTTGCCCCATCTGTAGTGTTGGCCAAGTCTTTCTAAAACAGCATCACAGTTTGGGCCTACTTTCTGAAGTAAGTTATGCACTTAATAAATATGAATGTAATTGGGAGGGAAAATTATAGTTCAAGAAGCTTACCAATGACCAGGGAAGATGTAAAAGGCATAGATCAGTACATGAGTCTTTGCTTGAGAACTGAAATTCCAAGCCATTAGGTCAAAGCTTCCGGCCTTAAGTCAATTTAACTAAAGCAGGACTGAGCTCTGCAGAGCTGAAGGCCTTTGATAATGTTTCCTTGCAGCATTAGCAAATTTCCAAGCAGGAATGTACAGTTTGCACTGCAATAATTTACACTTGTACTAATTTCTACTGAATTAATTCCACAAATACTCTAGGAGTGATGGAGGGACAAAAGAATTTCAGAAGTGACTGAGGTTGCTGAAAAAAGATGTATAAAGACAAATTAATTCTCAAAGAACTGGAAATTGTCTGCTTTAGGATGATATCTGCTGGATTGATAGGCTGTGATTTCACACTTTAAATACTCTACTACTCCACTAAACTTTGGTAGGACTGTGCAGTTTGTGCTGCTCCTCCAGATCCTGCAATTCAGTTCAGTGTATTCTTGTGTGATCTATGGCTTTAATCTAATCTGAGCCTTAATTTACAGTCTGCAGAATTTATCATCTCCTATTTTGTCATCTTTATTAGGTTACACACTCCATCCTTGGAAAAATTGCTCACCAAATGAAGCACATGTCCCAGGAAGAAACATCACAATTACAGCTTCAATCTATACTTTTTCTGTGGTTTTATCGATAGGGCAAGAGGATAAATATTCAATATCATATATGCTTAGGGTATTTTTTAAAATGTTACATACAGTCATTTATTACTAATAGCTTTAGCACAGTGAAAGGAGGGGGTCAGACATAAAAATAATCCATTAACAAAACAAGTCTGAGATTCACTGAAGGCAAAAAGGATTCCTGACCTTACACTATAAATATACTCAAATTACTGGGCTCATAAATAAAACAAGCCAGAATTACACATCCATGGCATCTGTCTGAACCCTTGTTTTCATGCTAACAGCCAAATCTTTAAAATCTAATTAGAAGATTATTCTAGTGTTACAAAGAAAGTCTGCAGTGCTCTTTCTAACTATTTATTGTAAATGTTTTATATGGAGAGCAAATAAACTGAAGAGAAATTATGTATTTAAATGGACTAGATGGTTTAATGAGAAGAAACAGGTTTTAAAATTTCATGTTCCTGTTTGCAAATAACAATGTACTTTATAGACATTGATTAAACTTCATGTCACTGACTGAAATAAAAGAAACCCAAGCATTTCTTCACCCACAGTGTTGACTATTTATGAGGCAGGTTTAAATGGCCAAGGGACAATTCAATGTACACTGGACAATTACACAGCAAATCAACTTCATTGACAATATCTTTTTAGTCTGGCTGCTTTGAAGAGAATTGTTGCTGTCAGCTGACTTGGGTATTTTTATTTGCTGCATTTTACACAGCTGTCACTGGAAACTTTTATCAAACAATTGATGATGTCTTCTGATTACTGTCAGCTCATCCATTTCCCATAGAATAGATTCTTCACAGGATTCAACAGTCTAGGGGAAACTTCACCATGACTTTCAAGACTGTCTAAACAAACCACTTATGAGACATGGCTCTTCCAACTAAGAACTAGATTTGGTCTTATCATTCTGACATCCAACATTCTCACTTTTTTTATTAGCACAAGATTTGCTATTCTGTGTACCTTCATAGGAAAAATAATTACGTTTTCATTATGTGGTAAGGTTGCTTAATTATTCGAATGCTAAGATTCATACTCTTAGTACACTTGGCTTTCAGCTAGTAATAGGCAATGGCAAAAGGTTTCACAGGACACTAGAAGGGACATCCTATTTATTCCAGGCTGGATTAGGTCATTAGGATCAGCAATGCAAAAGTGCCATGAGGGCAAAACAAATAATGTGGAAGGAACTGGTGGGACTGCACAAAGAAATATCATATGAAATACAAAGCAGCAAAATTCTGAGACCTTGGGAAGTCTATTTCAAATAAAAATCTGAGGCCTCTTTGCAAACTGTGACATCTGTGGCAGAGAAAAATAGGACACATTATAGTGGGATATAAAGTTTATTTTGTGTTAGTGGTGCTGAATATGAGGGGAACCTTGTCTCTCCATCCCTGACTGTCATGCTTTTTAAAAGAAGAACCTGAGCCTGTCCTGCAGGTGCTGCTGTGCCCTCCCACCTGCCCAGTGGTGACGCTTCAAGGAACTGACCCAGTAAAAAGGGAGTACCTGCCCTTTTAGCATCCTGTCTTGCCCAGTTTGAGATAAGATGAGGTTGAGATGTGATGACATGAGATGGAGAGGGAAAGAGTATAGGACCATAACTGCTGCAGCTTAGCTCAGTCTGCTCTGGGAACACAAACTGAGGAAGGTACATCTCAGCCTGGGTAGGAGTGGACCAAGTGTCAACCATTTATTTACTTCATTCAAATATTTTTAATGCCTTCCAAAATATTTAGTATCATATTATCTCTGCTGCATATACAAGACAGAGTGGATTGGTTTCTCTCTAAATTTTTGATGTCTGTGATGATGTATCTAATGTATTTTGGATTTAGAAACAATTTTGTAAACAAGGATTATCAGCCCCTTGACATGCAAGTGTAAAGCACATATTCTCTCTGCACTTCAAACCTAGGCTAGTGTATTCATTATATTAATGGCTGCAACAGAAACTGGAAAATCAGTATTAATTCAGAGAAGTAAATATAGTGTGGCTCCTTTAATAAACCTCAAAATAAAGAAAAGCTTGTCATGCAAGCATGGTTTTATATTTGTCTTGAATAATCTAAAATTTATGTCAGTGATAAAGGGGACAGTCCTCCACCTCCTGTCCCTGATAAGACTCTCATTCCCCTCACTGCACTAGGTAGAGCTTGTGCAGGGTGGTGTAATCAACCAAATTGGTATGAATTTGGCTGACAATGTATCTTTTTTTATTATTTATTTTTGCTGATTTAGTGAGCTGATTTAGCTCATACATATAGCCTTATGATTGCAAAAACATTGTAAGGGAGACTGTGGTAGGAAAGGTCTGCTGGTTTTGGTGACTGCAAATTTAGCTATAATGATTTGCTAAATATCTCACAGTAAGACAGAGCTAACAGTGGGTGTAAGCACATAGCATAGTCTTTAATTCTGTAAGTTTTGTGAACAAACTGCAAATATGGAAAATGTTCTTGTTCACAGATCACACCATCCAGTCTGTTTTCTGCTGCTGCTGCTGCTCAGTGCAAGAAAGGTATGTGAAATGCTTAAACTTTTCAGTAATTAAATATCTACACATAAAGGACTTCTTAAAGCCCCTCTATTTGCAGTAGAAGAGCAAATATGTGGAAGTTTAAAGACACTGTACTCTGCATATCCCTAATGAAGGAAGGCATGGATGGCCATGGATATTTTTATGTGGATGTTTACAGGTAGGCATTCACACCAATGCTTCATGTTTTTCAAAATCAGGGAAACGAGAACAAAAGTGAACCTGGAGCCTGACGCTGTCCTGGTGACCCAGTACTCTGCCTCACAGCCAGATGTTTCCTATGAATCTATTTGGAAGTGTGGGGTAAGTAACATTTTGGCAGGTGAAAAGAGAGAATTGACACACAGTGGCTCAGTACCAGGATAAGCAGGGGAGTAACTAGCTCTTGAGCATATAAAGTTCTTTGTTGCATAAAAATTACAGAGTAAGAGTAACTAAACAATCTATAGTAGAGAGAAAGGCTAGTTATGAAAAATACTTTGATTTTTCAGCAGCCCAAGAGACAGTTTAAGGACAAGCCATTACCTCCTCTGCCTCCCGAGGCCTTTGAAGACTACAAGGACAAACCCAGAGTTATTGCACTCTATGACTTCTTTGCTAGAGGGCCTTTAGATTTACCTCTCAAGAAATCAGAAGAATATATTGTCCTGGAACAGTATGATCCCCTCTGGTGGAAGGCAAGAGACCAACATGGGTAAGAGAGAGGGCATCTATTTCAATCTCCCTTCACAGAAAGAAAAAACCCTTAAAGCACCCTGTGCAAAAGTGAGCAGATAGAATTAGACTTATGGGACTATTTAGGGACAGGCTTGAAAGTGTTCAACTATATGTGAGGCACACAGATTGACTGGGGAGACTTTCAGCAGGGCTTGGCACCCCAGAAATGGACAGGGAATATAGAACCTGTTGGGAATTCAGAGTTAAGCCCTACACTCAGTAGGTTCCTGAGCAACATAGGGATGTTTGAAGACCATGTGAGTCACTGGGCTCTGGGCCATGTGAAAATCCAGCTTTCCATATTTCAAATGCTCTACAATGGAGCGCGTACGTGTAAAAACTTTGTGAAACCACAGAGATTATGAAGACATTCCTGAAACATAACCTCTTCCCCAACATACCTGGTTATTTCAGAGAGCTAGATAACTTCAATTAGGATCTTTTTCACACTTACGTTTGTTTTGTTTTGTTCCCCTTTCTCCTTTGTATTATCTGCAGTATATCCTGTACTATGATATTGGGAATGGTTGCATGTTATATTATAACCATCTCCTTTCCCTTCAGATTTCTCCTTTAAATATTTTAAATGCTTTTTCTCAACTTATGTTTTCAGCAAAAGTATACTGACAACTATTTTGAACATACAAACAAGCACACACTTTGTATTTCTTCATATAGGATTTGTACAGGCCAGAAATAAAGATGGTGGCTTCTGGTTCAGAAGGAAAATATTTTTTTCCTAAGTCTCAGCCTATACCATCTGGCTTTTTCATTTGAGTAGCCATCCACAGTCATGGGACAAAAAGTTGTGCCTGGATGAAAGGACTCAAATTTTTATTCAGTTCTAATGCTGGAATTCAGTATCCAGCAACATAGCCCCCAAGATAAGGAATCTTTGTAATTCAACAAAAGGATGATGTATATCTTGATCCTACTTATCTTTTACACCATACCATAATATTATCCCCAATATGTTGTTTCAGGAATGAAGGTCTAATTCCCAGCAACTATGTTACAGAGAAGAAAAGCAATTTAGAAACATACAAGTAAGTACCTTTGAAAATTATAACTGGGCTTTTATTTCTAAAAATGGATTGCAGAAATACATTTTAATGTTTGAGCCTTCAAATTTTTATTAGACATGAACATGTTTATCAACAGCTTTCTTTTTTTTTTAATATAAAACATTACTCCTAAAATGAATTTAAATTCATGTACATGAATCATAGTGTCAGAATCCAGATTTTTCCTGTTTCTGTAGACCCAATGCATAATGTTTCTGTATTCTGATCTTTGCCTGTTGTGATCATGTAGCTAATTCCATCTACTATAAATTTAAATTACTGAAGAGAAGATTAAAATTCTGAAAAATTGTAGAGAAGAAAGACTTGGCACATCATCCAGGACTGTAAATTTCATCACAGTTTGGCATAATTTTTTTTTTCCCCTGGGGTTTCTTTTTCTTTTTTTCTTTTTTTCTTCTTTTCTTTGAGCTAATATGTAGTCATAGTAAATTGGGGCCAAAAAGTTCTAAAAAAAAGTCTAATAAAATCATTCTAAATTAAGACATATTCATGTACAATGATAGTTCTAAACATGTTTTTGAATTGGAAAAATGCAACTACTAAACTGTAAAACAAAGCAAACATTCATTTTTACTGGCTGAAATTAAGGATAGGTTATGTCCTTGTTGCAGGTGGTACTGCAGAAACATGAACAGAAGCCAGGCAGAACTTCTTTTGCACCAGAAGGTAATTCAGCTTGCACATAGAGCTAACAGTACTGAAAAAATACCTATCAGTAGAGCATCAAGAGCATTATCACAGTCAAATCAAAATCTGTTTGGTATTCTGTAAGAGAGAAAAGTACATTTTAAGATTTCTAACTTAAAAGGAAAAGGCTTTCTGGTGTGAGTGTAAAGTGCAGACTATCCAGACTTCACAAAGCTTTAAGTTGTAGCCCCAGCAAATTCTATGTAGATTTTCCATGCCAGATAAATCAAATTATGTGGCTTACTGTGCTTGTCTGTTACATTAGACATTAAAAACAGAAATCCATGTAGTAAGCTAATTAGCTCTGAGTTTAGCAGAACTTAACAAACCACTGCATCTTCCTTAAATACAGAGCCAACAATCCACACTGCATTCTACCCCCTGTCAGTTACCAAAGTGCCTAACTCAGTCAAACTCATTGGGTCTTTGCGCAGGCCCAGGACAAGAAAGACCAAGGAAGAACATCTCAGACAGAATTATTTTAACTGGATTTTTTTTCTAGTGATTTGTACAATTTGATTTTTTAATAAATTGAAGCATTTTCACTACCTCACACTGAAGAGTATAATTCAGCTAAATTGCTTATCTCTAGAAGTTTCCTGGCATTTATTATTTTCTGTTGGTTTATTTTGCTCTGCCATGTACCTGGCTATCTATTCCTGTTCTCCACTTCTTGATCTTCCTCCCAAATAGTCTTAAGTATTCTACATAATTTGGTAATCAGCTGCAAGTCCTGTCTCAAGGGAGCATTACTGAAGCTCAAAAGCATAAAATAACTCTACCTGGATTTCTTTTCAGCCCAAAGAAGGTGCCTTTGTTGTCAGGGATTCAAGCCGGCAAGGTCTTCTTACGCTGTCCATGTATTCGCGGGCAAAGGGGTGAGTTCCTCTGAATGGTTGGGGTTTGAATCAAGTGGTGATGGAAAAGCTTCCTCCAGACTCCTCAGAATAACTGGGTAGGTTGGACATGCAGTGCACAGGAGCAGGGAACCACTGGGATGCTTTTCATGCAGAGCTAATCACCCTGTGTGCAGAAAAGATCAAGGGGAGTGGTGGATCTGGGAGTCAGTGTGCAAAGGTCCTAGCAAGACAAGATTACCTGCACTCTCTGAAATTCTCAAATGATCTGCTGTGGAAACCAGCTGTGGAAACCATGCCACAACCTTTGGCCACTGCACCAAACTGTTTCCTTTCTCCACAGGCTCTGTGCACTGTAAATCCATCCCAGAGTCTGCTGTGCTCAAACGTCACCTGTTTGTCTCCCAAAATCACCTCACCCCTACTGTGCAATCTTACTTTTGCTGGACAACACCCACAGGACTCACACTTGCCCATATCAGGAGCAATCACCTACAGCACTGACTTAACCTATTTCAAGCTATTTTATAACCCTCCCACATCCCCCTGTATCTACTGTGTCTGCTTTCCTTCTCTCCCTCTTACAGTAAGCCAGAGGTGAGAGCAGCTAAGGCATTGCTGTTACCTCCACCCTCTTCCTCCCTCCCTCCATTTCCTCCTTGAAAACATGGGGCCAGCCCTCCCCACCATCCCTGTGCTGGGGTCAGGCTCACAATTTCTGTGTGAGGCTCAGGAGTGTTTCTGACAATGACTCAGTAATGCAGACTGTACAATGTCTCCGTATTCTGAGCTCTGCTTGCTGTGTCCACAGTCTAGAGTACTAACCTTCAGCAACCACCAGCCTGAAATGCAAACTTAACTGCTTAATTTTGAGTGTCACAGAAGTAGGGATAAGCAGACAGCAAAATACACAGAAAGCAAAAAAGACAGATAATGTAAAGAAATACAGAAAAACAAAGGTATCAAATAAAAGCTCCAATGAAGACTCTTTGAAGAAATAGAACTGAAAATTTAATCTCATGCTATACATGAATATGTGTTTAAGTTTTTGGGGAGAAAATGCAGGTAATTTGTAACATTTTAATTTCAAGAGGTTGTGTTCAAATGAATGTTAAATGAGGAGGAGCAATTCTTAAACACTGTGGCTATTTCTTATGAATGCATTGATACAGGGGTAAAAAATACTTTGGCAACAAAAGTGGTTTTTTTTCTCTTGAAACAGTGTTCCAGCTAGACACAGCCTCAGATGTGTCACATTCTCAGACACATTCTCAGATGAGAACTGTGTCCCAAGTTTTCAGATTTTTCTATGTTTTCATAGTGAAATTTAAGCAGATTTATACTATAAATTATTTTTACTGAAAATTCTAATGCTTTGTTGATTTCAGAAGTCATAATGGGAATATTCTACATTATCAAATTAAACAAAATCACTCAGGACAATATTATGTAGCAGAAAATTATGTCTTCTCATCTGTTCCTGAGCTCATCGAGTATCATCAACACAATGCTGCAGGTAATGCATGTGAGCTGATAATGGTTTTACATCTTTTTCTAATAGCTTCCTTATAAAATCTGACACAAGTGTTTCTATTGGTAATGAATTCAAACATGCCTTGATTCTTTCTGCCGAAGTTATAGCTGTCATGTGCATATACCATGAGGGAAGTGAAATGACCAAACTTGTCTACATTATTAAATGAGTTTAGCAAAAATAAAAGACTGCTCTGTATTCTCCTGGTTCACATTTGATTGAATGGGACTTGGGTGAAATTTGATCATAATTCTTTCTTTGTCTATGACAAGGACCAGCATACATACAATCTAATAAAAGCAGGAGCTATGCTGTGCATCAGCAGGCAGCATTCTACTGATTTTGAAAAAAAACCCAACCCATAACACAAACAATCCAGGACAGAATTAGTTCTTGTGCTCACAAGGACTCTCTAACACTGACTTTCAGCACCAGAGTTAGATACCTCTAACTGTTGGCTGATGGCAGATTTTTATAATTTTTAGCATGAAAAATATCCTTCACCTTGGTTCTGCCCATCATTTTAATACAATATAAAATGGTTTTACTCTGAATGAGGGAAGATGGGAAAACACAGGGAGATCCCTTGCTCTAGAGAGGAAGATATGGGAATGGACAGAGCCTTTTGCTGGAGGGAGGAGAATTGTAGGAAACACTTGTAGCAGAATTGGCCCTAAAAGTAGTAGTGGGAAGAATCAATTAACTCAGGGAGTCCTTGGTGAAGGACGTTCAATTCACTAGTACTCTTGGCTTATTAATGCAAAGAAAATAAATGAGACGCAAAAATATTTCAAACCTGAGAAGTCATGCGACCCTACTTAGGTCAGTGACACAGTATTTTAGAGGTCATTTATGCTTACTGTCATGGTACAAAAAAGTAAGAGTATTAGTGTTGGCTTTATGAAAGTAGAAATAGTTTTGTAGTCAGGGCCCTATTAAATAGTCTTTCTACATTTCTTCTCACTGTAGTGTTTTATCTGAGCAAACTAGGCAAAAATAACTTCAATAAATAAGAAATTTACATGAGATTCCAAGTAATTTTGTTTGAGAAGAAGTATGGTATAGCATATTTTAAAATAAAGTAATTTGTCAGCAGATTATTGTGGCTTTGTCCCCAACAGGTCTTATCACACGTCTCCGACATCCAGTGGGATCAGATGGATGCACCTCACCAGAAACTACAGGACTGAGTTATGGTAAATTTTTTGTCTTCTTTTGAAGGAGATTTAGCTATCTGCTGAGGCAAGAATTTAGCTCATGTTCACCCAGCTTAATAATTAAATTGTATCTGTGAAATTCTTTGGTAATACTAAACACATAAACAGTGTAAGGTGTCAGTACCAAATGAGACACCTGACTGAGCTGCTTCTGTGACTATTGTGCTTCTGTTACAACCCCCAGTGCATTCAGAGCTATTTGGACTTTTCTAAGCAAACCTACGACTCAAATAGACATTTAATGGCTTTTGAAAGGCTATTAGATTTATGTAAATGCTTAGGAAACCAAAATTGAAACCTGAAATTAATACTATTAATAGAGAAGATTTTCTTTGTCAGTTCTGCAGGTTTTAGAAATAAGAATGAACTCTTATGTGGTGTAAAAGAAACACATAAGCAATAAATGCCAGTTTTGTGTATATAGATCAGGAATTTCATACCATCTATTAGACAACAGGAACCTCCACAACTGAGTATCTTTCATGTTCCCATGAATCTCATGGCTTAATATTTCTGAAGGGTTGAGCTATTGTAGTTATTACAATACAGGTAGCCAGTGACTATTTCTGTAGCTATACTATCCATCTGGAACTGGTTTGGAGCTAAAAACATCAGACATCATAGTGCCAAAAAAGTTCTCATGTGTAATCAAAGCTAAACACTTGCCTTATCTTCAAGCCTCAGACATTCCTACATTAAGCAAAATTACTAATCGCATTCTTTAAGCTGTAAAACAGTATTTATATTTAAATATATATGAACCAGTAAAAAATTTCAGATATTTAAAACTCATGCTATGACTGACGAAGAAGTGTGATGCTTTGCAGTGCTCATTGACTGCCATCAGCAAGGCGTGTCTCCTGCAGCATGGCTCAGGAAAGCTGGCCTGACTCTCCTGACATTTTGGGTTGCTTTTGCAGAGGAGTGGGGATTAAACCCGTCTGAACTGCTGATACTGAAAGAACTTGGGCGTGGGCAGTTTGGAGTTGTTTATCTTGGTAAATGGAAAGAGACTGTCAAGGTTGCTATCAAAACAATCAATGAAGGTGCAATGTCTGAAGATGATTTCATAGAGGAGGCCAAACTGATGATGTAAGTACAAAAGCTATTCTGTCAGTTTACCAAGAAATAAATATAACCTAATTCCATTTCAAACAAACAAAGCAGTTTGATGGGAATGGTGGATGTGTGGGACAGAAAGGCTGATGCAAAGGTCTGAACCAAGCTGATGCAGGTGCTTCCTATGCCCAGACTCTTTCTTTAGAGCGTGCTTTGCTTTGTGCTATGGAGCTCATTGGGGAATAAATGTTCTGGTAAAATGTAACTGTGCTCCTACAACTATTCTTTAATCCATACCTCAGTGCCTCAGGAACACTGGCAGAGCTTCTATCCAACTAAAGCTTTTGAGAAACTATATTACCATACCTGCAAACTTTGCAAATTAAGGAAGTATCCACACGAGGTCTTGGCAAAGCCCAGAAGGGATGAACCCTTGCAGGGTCAAGGCCCCTGCCTGCAAACCAAGTGTAGCTAGACCTTTCCATTTTGCAGCAACCAAATCAAGCTTTGCATTCTGATTGCTGCATTTATATAACTGATGAAGAATTATCGGTTCACAGAGTGAAATTTTGTAGAAAGTTGTAGAGAGAAAAGCATTAAGTATGGGGAGAACTCTTAGTACAGCTGAATAGGACACTGTTTATCAAGTAGTGAAAAATTTTTTCAAAGCCATCCCGAGAATCAAAGGTTTAGTTACCTGCCAAGAACAAATATTAGCCTGTCTAAAATGTGATTTTAAACAGGAAACTCTCCCACCCAAAGCTGGTCCAGCTTTATGGAGTGTGCACACATCACAAGCCCCTCTATGTTGTGACTGAATTCATGGAAAATGGTTGCCTGCTCAGTTACCTGCGGCAAGGGCGGGGGAAACTCGGCAGAGACGTTCTCCTGAGCATGTGCCAGGACGTTTGTGAAGGGATGGAATATCTGGAAAGAAACAGCTTTATTCACCGTGATTTGGTAAGTACAACAGGTTTTCTGTGGTTCTTATCAAATATTTGCAGTACAGAATGTGCGGTTGCATTTTATGGGGCACTGTGAATCCTATAAGACTTCAGCCCTGCAGGATCTAATAAGGAAAATCCAAACTTTTCAGCTGTTGTTTTGCCCATGGACAGCTCAAAAAAACACTTGAGAGAAGTTTGTCCATTGGAAACACCCCTTGAGAGCTCAGGGAAAAGTAGGATATTGACATGGAACTAGCTGGTATTATGATATCTCAATGTGAAAGTGATTAGAACACAACCAGAATCACAGCATTACAAAATGTCAGCAACAATGAGAATTTTTTAAAATTGAAATATTTTTCTATCTATAATTTTTTGTCTCTCTACAGCCATTCATTAATGTTGAGATATATGAGTGGCTTTTCTGCCCGTAGGCAGGGAATTCGAGAAAAGGAGTTTGTTTCTTTACTCCTTGATACTTTTTCAATGCTCACATTTGGATGTAGAGAGGAAATCTTCCTCCTCTCCTGCCTAGTTGCATGAAGAAATGTAAAATTTTGAAAATTACCAGGAAGTTCCTGATTTCTGTAATGAAAGCATCAAAAAACAAATTTAAAAAGTTACACTAATTGTCCCTTGTGTTGATGTTCAGGAAAATATCTGGTTGGATCGTTAGACTCTGAAACCTAAAAGTCTTTCACTGTTAAGAATACATAAACATATTGCAACTCATTCTACAAGCATATAAGTTGCCAGGTGCTATGTATGTGTAACTACACAATAGTGAAATATGTTCACTGACTCAAAAATTCATTAATATTTTTGACCAATACACTAATCTCCTTTCAGATATAAACAGCATGAGCTAGAGCAAATATAATCAGCTGCTGTATTTCTCTTAAAAATCTTTAGCCCAGATTTCAGATATGTTTCTCTCATTTTCCCCAGGCGGCAAGAAACTGTTTAGTCAATGAGGAGCATGTGGTTAAAGTATCTGACTTTGGCATGGCAAGGTACGAGGTCACTGACAAAGGTTTTGAGAGCACCCATTCTCAGACAGGTGCAGCATGATCTTTAGTTAACCTCACTGCTTGCTTCACTGGTTTGGGGGATCCCACTGTGGGTAATTTTTGAATCCTGATGAAAATTGAAATGTTGTTTAACCACTGTACCATGAACTGGATATCGTGTCCTCCTCTTGCTCTTGGTGAGTGCAAGATAGGTAAACACAGTGCCAGGTAAACTTCAGAGGTGTTTATAGACAGAGAAATGCCCAGAGTGCGCAGGGCAGCCAGAAGCCTGCAGAAAGAAGTTCCCCAGCTTTGCTGAGCAGGATGGAGGTGAGAAAGCCGCTAGGGACAGAACTGGAGCTGGTGCTGACCTCTGGAGGCTGCGGTAGCTGAGTAGGTGAGGCAGGATGCAGGAAGGACCATGTGGGTAGGAAGTGTGACACATGCTGCTCTGGAAGGGAAGTGGTTTTTCTGCTTAGTGATAGAACCAGCCAAAGTGAGGAAAGAGAGCACTCTCAACTGTGACAAGCACCAGCCTGAGAAACAGCTCTAGCCTCACAGACTTTCCTCAGAGGACACAGCTGAGCTGGCCAAATGACTGAATGCTGCCCAAAGAGGACAACAAAAGGTTGTCCTCTTGTAAGGCCGACATAAAGCCCTCTACTTTGGTGCTTTACTGGCTGGTTTTTCTGTGGGTTAGCATTAGGAGGCAGATGAGCTTGAAAGAGAGTCAGTGGCTCTGAGCAGAAGGTTGTGGTGACACTTGTGGCTGCGAGTCGTTAGGTCAGCACAGCCTTGCTCCTTCAGTTTTGCCTCCTATTTCTAACCTCAGGCTTACAACACCCTAGCAGTTTATAGCTAAGGACTTGTTTTTCAAAGGGCTATCCTGTACCATGGTTGTACTGCTCCCCAAAAGGGAAAGGTCAGTATCAGGGCTCTGGACATATCCAAATGAATGAGAAAATACAGTAAGACCAAGGTGGCTGTCAGGCTCCAGCCTAAGAATAAGGGACCTGAAAGGCTCACTGTGGCCACAAAGTGGAGATCAGTGGTCTGGCTCTAGGACTCACTATCCTGGGGAGGCTGTGGAAATGTGATGGGAACACAACCTAATTATTCAGAGCTCACACAACTGCTTTTACAGGTTATTTTGTACTGCTATTTCATATGTTCCTAATTCAATAGCCTCCCATGTTTCTGTGCCTGCACCAAAATGAGAAAGTGAGGCAAAAAGATTATTTATTTCAATGTGACCTCCTTTAAAAGGTGCTTAAAAAAATTACCTTTATGCTTTCCCTGAGAATAAATGTGTACTGCATGTCTGTGATCTGCTCAGGAACATTAATACTTGGAAAATGTGCCCAGAGTTCATAAGGATGTTAGGGTCAGCCTAGTAGTCATTTAAAATGTTGCCCTAGAAATGCCTGCATTAGGTAAATAATTTCATTTTATCTGGGAGGTCAGCTCCTATAAGCTTGGGGAAAAACAATTACTTTAGTGCTCTTACAAGAACTGCTGTCTTGAATGTGATGAACATTTCTTTGTGTGCTGCTTTGGTAACAATGTCCCTGATATGGCATCTGTGAAGATGGACAGCAAGAGTCTTACTTGGTTGAAAAGGTGGATCCTTTAAAAAAAAGACTAATTCTTTATTGCTGCTGATTTTCCTACCCATGGTGAAGTGATGTGTCTTATTGTCATCTTTTGGGTGTATATTAATAATAACCATTCTGTCACTCTTATGCTTGTATCAAAATGTTTTATTCTGACATAATTCTAATGAATAATCCAAATCATTCATTTAGACCAAAATGTCTTTAAGTGCATTGCTATGGGGTTTTTTTGTGTGTGTGCATTTTATACTAAAATAGTGATATAATTTCGTTTGCAAATTGATACTATTTTTCTGGAATTCTAAACCATTTGTGGGAATGTCACTCATTCAAATTTATGTGGTTTGCTCCTTTTCTTCAGGTATGTAATTGATGATGAATATATCAGCTCTTCAGGTGCCAAGTTTCCAGTCAAATGGTCATCTCCTGAAGTCTTTCATTTCAAAAAATATAGCAGCAAATCAGATGTCTGGTCATTTGGTGAGTTGATTAGGTGAAAAGGCAACCATACTTCCCTAAAAAAAACTACTGATGTGATTTAGGAAAGTATAAATTTCTACCCATACTAGATATCTGAAACTTCAGTCTTTCTCATTTTTCAAAGTTTGCTTATATTGGACAAATGGATTTTTCATTCGGAAGGTTGCACCTAAAAAGTAGATTTTGACTGAAATGTGCATTTCTGATGAGTCCTCATTAGCCAAAAGTATTCATCTGAGTTTCATGGACCATCACCTTAGCTGACTTAAAAGAGAGCGGAATTATATTTGTTGAAAATTGTTTGGGCTGTATCCTTCTTTCAGCTCAGGCTGCCCGTACTCTCATTCATTTTTCAACACACAGAAGAATCAGGAGTGGTTTTTATTCTCCTAATTTTGTTGAAAACTTGTGGGTTTGGCATCTTTTGTTTTGTCCTAAACCTATTTTGGTTCACTTCTAGGTGTACTGATGTGGGAAGTTTTCACAGAAGGCAAAATGCCTTTTGAAACCAAGTCAAATGCTGAAGTAATCCGTGAGATTTCTCAGGGTAACCGACTTTATCGACCACATTTGGCATCCCATCCTGTGTACAAAGTCATGTACAGCTGCTGGCATGAGGTTTGTTACCCTTGTTTCTTTCCCTGAGGTATTACTTTGTTCTTAATTTTTAACATGGATATAAGAGCAATCTTAAAACCTCAAGGCATCAAATCCTTATTTCACATGTGTGGCATTCTCAGCATCTCCAACTATGTTTTTCACAAATCACACCAAAGTTTACAAGCCTCTGCTTCTTTTGACTGTTGCAGCTGAGAAATACAGAGCACACTATGAGTACAATAGGTCTAGAGCATCCCTGATTGGAATATGCCACTGCTGTCCTGTTTCTCTGCTGGGAGCAATGTGATACCTTTTTTGTGCCTTTGTATTGTTCATGGCTTTCTCTAGATCTGCTCTGGATAATAAAACACTCATACACCAAGTGGATATGCCCACTAAATGTAGATTTTGAAACCCCTTTTTCAAGTGTGTATCAGTATCTCTGTACATCAGGGCAGCTCCTAAGGCTGCACCTCTTTCACCCTCTTCAAGCTGATTTAGTACTTCATGTTCTTTCACCATTTGTCCAGCACCTATTATTTCCTATATTGGTAACAAAACACTGATTTCATTAACTTCTCCATCTGATTAATCCCTTAAGGGCCCTCCTTCTCTAGTCTCTAGAAGAAATGAATCTTTATTTTAGGTTAAAGGTCCTTTCAGAAGAGCTTTGTGTGCAATTTTTTCATGTAAAATTGTGGGCATACACAGTAAGTAGCTGGGGAATCTTGTTGCTACCATTGTCTCCTTTATCTCCCACCTTACTCCTCTGAATAAAATTTTTAAATCCTGAGTAAAAAAAAAAAAAAGCTTAAGAGAAGGAAATCTAAATTGCATCCACCTTGCCTGCTTACTGCAAACACCCATTGGGGTGCCAGCCAGCAGAGGGATCATGGGGAAATTCTCTTTCCTGTCTGCCACCAGACAGGAGTTTGTTCAATACTGAGCTGCAGCACTTCAAATCATACAGCAGTGAAGATCCTTTATCAAAAACACAGGGAGCATTCCTGAGCACTATGGTTTCCTGGTTGGTAGGGCTTTCCATAAACCTACTGCACGGAGAATTCCATAGGAATTCTGATACAGAATTGAAATAAGTATAAAGAAATTTCAGGAATTTTTTACAAGTGTCTGTGCTCATGCTGCTGGTGTCATGAATAACAAATTTTTCTTTTTCTCTAAAATTACAAACTTGATTTTTAAAATTTCTATTAATAAAATGAAATGTAATTTTTAACTGTTATCTCATATGTACTTATATCCAATTTCTGAAGTCTGGTACTGTAATCAACCAATCTGCTAACACAAGTTTATCCTCTGCTTTTCTTTTCAGAAACCTGAAGGACGTCCTACTTTTGCAGAGTTAACAGTGACCCTCAGAGATCTAGCAGAGATGACATAATCACAGATTTTATACCAATGTATTTCCTGAAAGGTTAGCATTAAGCATGCCACTAATGAAGCTGGTACAGAAAACCTCAACATTTTGGAGAGGTCCCTACCTAAATCCCAGTACCAGCATCCTGCATACTGAAGCAGCTGTTTGGTCTTGGCACAGTTTTTCTTATTTGTGAAAGATACTCCAGGACACTGGTTTGGGACTCCCAAGACTTTGTTTTCATCATTAGGGAGAAAAATCTGTCTGAAAAGCAATAACTAAGCCTACTCACCTTATAGATATTTTTATTCATTCTTTTGTTCTGAGTTACACTAATTCTTGCATCAATATTATTACATTATTTATACTTAATATGACTCATGCACCGGGGAATAGTGATTGGCAGAGCAAAATGAAGGAAAAAGCTCTGAAAAGCTCTGGCTAAGTCACTTCTAAAGGCAAGTCCTTGTGCACTGCAGAGCATCCAGCCCTGGAGAAGCAGAGCAGGGCTCTGTCCAAGGGACAGCCAGCCCAGTGAGTGGCTGCTGGGGCAGTGCCCACACGTGTGCCTGCACCCACTGCTTGGACAAAGTAGTGCTTCAGCCCTCCCTTGCAAATGGCCAGGATGGTTCATGGGCAAGTTAAAACTGGAACCTGACAGTGAAGCTCAGATGGATCCTATGACACCTTACATGGACAGGTCTGTACCCCTACTTCTTATGCTATTATTCACTTTTAATTTTAAATCTTAACTATGGTCAACACAAATATGTTGTAGAGAAGGAAAGGTAGATAGAATTCATAATTATTTAAAACAAAATAGTCAGATCATTGCAAATAAATATGTTCTTGGAAATATGTGATTGCATTGTGAATTATTTGTAGGTAAATACATCACAATATTTAATTTTATTTGTAGACAAAATATGTAAAACATGCTAGATAAAGAATGATTGAGTTCAATTTAATTTTTGTCATAAATTGAGTCACACTATAATTTTTTATTTCCAAATTAAAAAAAAAATAACTGCAACATTAGAATTAAATACAGAAAAAATCCCACAAAGTTTGGAATTTCCAAAGGATGATGGCGTCTCATAATCAAATATAGTCCTGGCAGTAATCAGTCATCTTTACTGCAATAGCATTTTGATAGTTATCAACCCTTGGGAAAGGAAATCATTAGTCCCAGTGTTTGAACATTTGGGAGTACCTTCAAGCACACCTCTAAGGTATTTCTGCATCAAGTAAACCATGATATTCTCATTATTTCATGTAATTTCCCAGAAGAATTGATGTCACTGTTTACATTTGTAATCAGTTTATTTACGAGCATTCGGTCCTTTATGAGAGCTATGACTGAATGCAGGCCTCTAACTGTTGTGGTTTAACCCCAGCTGGTAACAGTGCCATGCAGTGCTTGCTCACTGCCTCTGCCCTGGTGGGACAGGGAGTCACAAAGTAAAACTTGTGGGGGAGATAAGAACAGGTTATCAGCTGAAGCAAAGTAAGATGTAACAATAGCAATAGTGATTAAAGGGAGAAAGAAAGAGGAGTAGAACCCAAGAGAAGCCAGTGATGCCCAGTACCAGTGCTCACTCCCTGCTGACTGATGCCCAGCCCATCCACAGGCAGTAACCAGCAGCCCCCAGCCAACTTCCCTCCCTCTCCCTCCCAGGTTGTACATTGATCATGACATTTTATGGTATAAAATATCCCCTTGGACACCTCAGGTCAGCTGTCCTGGCTCTGCTCCCTCTCAGCCAAGACTGAGACAACAACACAGTACACACATGGAGCTCACCACAGTTTATGTCCAGGCCACAGAGTACAAAGCTTTTCAGCAGATGATGCACTACCAATGTGGAATTCAAGCTCTCTCCACAATAAAAAGTAAATGGGGACTTTGAATAACATATGAGACATCTTTTTAAGCAGCTCTTGTAAAACTGGTTTTGCCATATTACTGCAAGTTAATGTGTAATACGTTACAGCACCATGCAGTGAAAACCAGCTGCATTAGATTTATGTACTCAAAGCATCTTGCTCCTGCCTGTCTCACTGAGCTGTCCCATGGTGAATATGGGACCCATATTCATGTTTCCACCCATCCTAGAAACATGCTGGTCTAATAACTGGAGCCAATAATGCTTGCCTACCAGGCTTCCACTTCCCAATATAATCTTTCTGTAGGCTGCTTGGGGAAAAATTTGAAGAAGCTGTTATTAACATTCTGACACAGAATAAATTTAACAGCTGCTTTCATCAAGCTGACTGTAAATAAATGAAAAAGCATGAGAACTTGCTTCAGAGTCAGTGAAAGTGGTGCTTAATTGGCAGCAAGAAATGGTCTGCAGTACAAAGGTCAGGTATCTACAGTGCATTTATTTACCAGAACAGCTACACCCTTACATAAAGACTGAGTAGGCCACCTTAGACCTCATGGTGACTGTGAGCTTAGGTCAAATTCCAACCACATTCTAACAGGCAGAAAAACAGATGAATAGTGAGTGACATCCTTATCACTAACCATAAAGAGATGTCTGTTTGCTGGTTTCTTTTTAAACTTCCATATGATGAAAATGAGATCTGGAAAAAGTAGTAAAGGAGGCACCTCCATACAGGGAGACACCTCCATACAGGGAAACTTCCATCAAAGGCTGTAGGAGTGTTCAGCATTTGTAAAAATTTAGCTACTATTTGCTGATCAAACATCAGAAAACTTGGAACAAGTCTGTATTATGGATGGGAGGAAAAGAGGCAGAACTCCAAGCTTTTGTGAGCCAGCCACATAGGATACATCTCTTTTCTATAAAAAGGTGCATTATTGACAAAATGGAATTTATTTTCAGAAAGTGAAATGAATTCACTTGTCAAAAGTACTCCTGAGAAACAATGCAGACCAATAACTAGTGTGTACTGGGCTGGTGACACTTGTTTCAGGCCAATTCCTGCCTCCTTCCCCTCTGGCCCCGGCAGATTTCATAAAAAGGGAGGCCCTGCAGGCCCACCAAAGCACATCACCATCCCTCCTCCTTCATGCACCACCAGTCTGGCTCCTGCTCAGCCTCCCACCCATGTTCTGAACCATGGCATCATTTTAAAACCTGCCCAAAAGGAGTCAGCTGCTGTAAACCTGCCCTGCTGGAAGGATATTTCCTAGCACACCTGACAGTTTTGTGTGGAGGGATAGAATGTAAGAGAATAGTGCAGAAGGCAGTCTCACACCTGACGAGCTGCAGCTGTACCAATCACCAAAGTTTAGGAACAGGCCTGTGCTTAACAGGCCACAGCTGTGTCCAGTAAGGAGATGAGTGCTACAAAAGAGTGGGGTAGCTGGGTGAGGAGATTTATGGAGTTTGTTGGCTGTTCTGTGAAGAAGGAGGAGTCAGTGCCGTGAGGAGTTGCCCATGAGAAATCACCAAGAAGATATGAGAGCTTTTGAAATAAGATGACAACAGTTTTATTTTGCTGGAATTTAAAGAATAAGACAACAACATTTTTTAGGAGTATGCAATTCCCCATATAGTTCTAGGATGCAACCCGATGAGTAGAGTTTGAATTTTTGAATATGCACCCCTTTGGGATGAAGATTTTTTTTAATAGCATGGTTCTTTCAAGTGTGGCTGGAAATTGAAGATGGTAGAACAGATTTCTATAGAAAGTAATAACTGATGTATTTCCTTCCAAAATTGTACAGATTTTTTTAACCTATCCAAGTCTTCTTGACCTACCTAAATTTAGTTGGTGCAGCTATGTGAGGAACTTAATTGCCCATTAATTTGTTCTGAGATATGGTAATAATGAGTAGCTGCCAAGATTTGTTTAGTATCAGCATTTAAAAGCTGTAATTTGGTTAGCAATGTATTGCCTCTGAGGATTGCTTTGTTTACCTTCCTAAGCATTCACCCCACATACCAAAACACATCTAATTACTTTAAATAGTGTTCTTCATTTCACTGCCTGGGAAACCCGGCAACTCACTGAAACACTCTCCACTGAGACTGGCTGTGAGACACACATGCTTTGGGTTTTCTTCTCCAATTTAGAAATATGAATGACACTCTTTTTTTATCCCTTGTTTAAAAAACACACATAATTTAGTACATAACCATGAGTAATTTATTACAAGAGAAATATTAGCATAATTTCAATTAAAAAATCAAAGTTATTCCAAACTAGTAACTAAATATAAACATTTAAAAAAATAGCCTCTCTTACAAGAAATATCTTTATACAAAAAAATAATCACTAATTTATTTCTAACATGATGGACTTCTTGTACACCACGAAAATAACCACTAACTTTGGTTTTTTTGACATTGTTAGAAAATAACATTCTTTTATTATTAGTTGCTATTTATGTCTAATAGCAGATACACAGATCCAGTAGAAAATACAGGAATTTTGCTTGGTATAAGCTAATTATTGCCAGCAATTGTTATATACGGAGTCCACTGCCTTCTCAAAGAAACTATTATGACATATCTTTAAAAAATGCCAACACACGTCCATTCAAGAGCTGGACTGGTTGCTATTTCTTACAAATAACTCATTTGGTCACATCACATTGATGACTCTGTAAGCAAATAAAGGGGCCATGGACTATGCAAAAGCATTTATTTTTCTCTTTTTTACAGTCAACATTTTCTTCAGTTATTCTTTGAATTGTCTAATTCAGAGTGAAAAGCAAGGGTTTTTTTAAAGAACAAACTATAAAACCCCCTCCATCCTTAGTTTTATTATTGCTTGTATTACTTGTTTTTAACTATTAAGATTTTGAAGCTTGAATCTGGTCAATTAAACCAAAGTATTCTCTACATTAACTAAGTAATGAAATCCTGTTAGTAGATTTTCTTGTCTGAAGCTTTTTTAACAGCAAAGAACTGCTGTGAATTTCATCACTCAAGCTGAAAAATACTCCAAATAGATAATTTATACAATGTCATTATATTTTGAAGGCAAGTACATTTTTGGTGAAAATGTCGCTTTTGCTGGGTAACAGCGATGCCATACAAATATATGAAATACAAGCTGCAACCCTTTTGTAAAGGATGAGCTTTCTTTCTTTTTCTTCTTCTGCTGAACCTTTTGAACATTAGAAAGCATATAGCCTGCTTCATGAGGAAGTTCTGCTTGGCATATAAATTTCAGCTGATTAAAACCAGTTTTTAACTGCTGAAGTGCTGGCATCCTCTGGCAAACTTTCTGGACTCACACTTAGAAATCCAAAGATTGGAAATGCTGCTTTCTGATGAGCTTGTCACCAACCACATGTCTGATTGCTGAAGTTACTTACTTACAAAGTGGAAAACAAAGAAGATTGTAATGAGCAAACCATGGACTGTGCAAGGTTTTTTGTGACAGGAAGATCAGTGACCTCAACTGAGGAACTACAGTACAGTTACCAATCTTCAAGGCCTCTGGTAGGTTAACATATTGTAAAACATCTAATAGGAGCAAATACTCTTTTTTTAGAGAAGTCCAAACTCAAAAAAAAGACATTCTGACATTTCTCAACCCTTGCCTACAGCTCATCCCCTACCTAGTATTTTTAGAAGTAGCGCATAGATTGCAAAATGAATTTTTCACTAAGAATAAAAATTAACAGGACTGCTTTATTATTAATAAAGAACAATACCTTCCCAGAAAATAAGGAAAAAAATTTGAAAAGCTTATATGGGTTCTGATGGCTGTATATATGGGTTATAGATGGTTGTATAAGGAAGAATTATGGAAATAAGTAAAGCCACTTCGTAATCCTCAAAACTATATGAAACAAAGGAGAAATTTTTAATTGCAGGTTCTGTTTTTCTCCTGGATTTGAATACTTAATTCTATAACCTCATGTAACTTTTTAAGCCAGTAGCAGCTGTTTGCAGGCAAATGCATTTTTTTCCTTAAACTTGGTCTTAGTTTTGAAATAAAAAAGTACAGGCACATTCAGGAATTCACAATCCATTCAGGATTCCTTGGGTAGAAAAGCTGAGATATATCAAGAATTGCATTTGTGAAAATTTTTTTGTGACATCTAATCAATGTTCATTGGAAGGTCATCAAAAGTGAAAAAAATCTTGCACAAAATTTTAAATGAAAAACTAAAATGGTTAAACACTGTTTTCTTCATGTTATGTCTTCAATGAATATCCTTCATGTAGAGTATTTACAAGCTTGCTTGGCAATAAATTACAAAAATATAAAGACAGCCAGAAATATTAAGGCCATCACAAGATAATAGCAGAGTACCTGCCACTTCAGCAAGGATTGTCTTTTATCATCAAAAGAAAATTGTATTTTTAAACATGGCTTACAAAGACCATTCTTTTTTGCTAAAATTTCCCAGGAAGAGGGGCTGCATAAAAAAAGGACCATGTTTTTAATTGTCTAACATATAATCACCACTAGGTTTCTGTCTGTTGTGCTAATTACTGACCATTTTCACTCATTACTGCCAACAGCTGACAATAGAGGAGTGGTCCACACTTAACAGGCCCCACAGGCAAATTTCCAGAGGACTGCAGAAGAGTTGGGCTTTCTAGTAGACATGGGTGGGCTGAGTTTGCAATTCATGATACTTCGACGATGAACACTGCTTGAGTGTTTCACTGACTGAATAAAATGTTGTCCTCCTCATATGCCAAAGCTGGGTTTTCCATGCTCTCCAGCAAAGTGTGACTGGTTTCAGAGTCACGGTGTGGCGGTGACGATTCTTTGGCAACAGTGGACATCAACTGACTCCAGGTGATGTTAGTGTTCTTGAAAGCATGCAGTAGGAAGATACCAATGATGATGCTGCAGAATCCACTCAGGGTTCCAATGATGTCACCCAGTTCCATACTGCTCCACTCCTTGAACAAGATGATGGAGCACGTCACCACTGTGGTAGTAAAGCACACGTAGTAAATGGGCGTCACAAGGGATGTGTTGAACACATCCAGGGCTTTGTTGAGGTAGCTGATCTGAGTGCTGACTGAGAGCACCAGGATGCCCACCAGAATGTAAACCAGGGGATGGCGATAGACTGGCTTCCTCTGCAGCATCTGCTTGATGGCAATGCCCAGGCCCTTCACAGACGAGACGGAGAAGGCACCGATGAGAGAGCAAATTAAAATGTAGATCAGTATGTTTGTCTGACCTCTCTTTGGAGCCACAACAATGATCAGTACAAGGGCAATGACTGTCAGCAGAACAGCAAATGTAACAAACACTGTAAAAAAGAGGAAAGGAAAGAGTAATACACACAACACCAGACTATGCTCACAAACATGCTCAGAGTTGTTCAGTGTCCCAGACACTTCCCTGTGAACTGCAGCATGTCTTCACTGCAATTGCATACAGACCTGGATCTTGCAGCTTTCTTTCCATCTCATCTAGTGAGGTGACCTCCTCCTCCTCTGGGGCATGAATAACCATGACTGTTGACCCCAAAATGCTCAGTACACAGCCCAGCTTTCCATGAATATTCAGCTTCTCATTTAAAAAATAGGATGACAATATAGCACTGTTCGGCAAAACAGAAATAAAATGTTCAGCTCCACCATGCACAGAAGACATTCAAAATCTCTCTGTGTAGCATATCAGAAAACTTCTTTTGAATTTGGATATATGGTAAACCAGCCTGAAACAATCAAATTGTGAGTGAAGAGTTTTTCCAAGAAAGTTGGTCATGATGAAGAAGGTAAGGTCAGGTTTTAGGGAGTTTAGCAACACTCAATGCTTCCCTCCAGGTTGTAAAAGGGTCCAAATTTGCTAAGGAGCTTCTCGTTCCTGATTGTCTGGGTCAGGGTATGCACTCTCACTGTAGATTAACCACAAGAGCTGTTTCTTTCTTCCAAAAATGGCTCAAAGCAGTTCATTTACCATTACAACCAAAGCACATGAGTGCTGGAAACTATTCCTCATCCATCCTCAGGCTCTCCCACCCAGGCACACATTCTGCCTGGCTTGCCAGGGCTCCTCCCAAAACACAGAGAAGGCATGTCTCCCCCTTCAGAGATCAACCCCAGGATCTCCACGGGGTTGATTATTTAACCAAGGCACAATAACATGGCCTAAAACACCACTCACGGGGCATGATTAGCCTGCTAGAGAACAACCTTGGGCACAGACACAGGCTTAATGGTGTGTGAACACACAAATAGTTACTCAACCCACTGATCAAAACACAGACCTTTTTTTCACACAAGGGTAATGAGTTCACTGACATGAAGTTCTAACAACCCCTCTGTCTCATGAAAATTTGAATGATTGTTCTCCCCATCAAAGAAGAAGGCAATAAAGCTCAAGCTGTTTTTGCACAGCAGCAGCCAGGCATCCAGCTGATCTGCATTTACCAACACGCTGACCCCAGCCCCACTGCAGAGACTCAGTTACATTGGTTTTGGTTTTGCTATGACAAAACAGCTGCAGTTTGAGCAGGTGGATTATTCCAAGCATCCTAGGGGAGGTTTGTTTGTTTGGGGTGTTTTTGTTTGGGTTATTTTTCTGTTTTGTTTTTAATATGTGGCACATGTTGTTTTAAACACAGTGTTTCATATAGTATACTCAGTTCTTAAAAATCAGAGTTTTACATTTAAAATACTATAATTTCATTTTGTTAAAAGATTATTTCCTATAAAGTTTTTGTATGCACAGTCCACATCTTTTCTGCTGCTATGATGGCCACATTACTGTATGTGTTTAAGACCTTGGAATTTTTTTCCTTCATACATAGGAAACAATAAGTCTGTGAAGGACATTTATGTTTCAAAAGAACTACAAATGTTAATTGTGGATACAGAAGAAAGCTTAGATTTTCTTTGCCTTCTTTCTAGAAAGATGTCAAAAAGACCAAACAAAATCAAAAGTTTTACTAACTGTGCATTAATATGAAATTATGCTCCTATCAATAGAAAAGTTTTTTAAAACATTTTGTGAAGGAATGCTGTATTTTTATTTAAAGTTTAGTCACAGCTGAAGAACAGGATAACAGTTCTTAAAAAAGTTCCAGTTCTCTAGGAATAGCTAAATTACCTTCTATCAGCAGTATACCTTGTTTATGCTGATAAGAATTACTTTGTGATCTAGGTGAAAAGCTACTGGGAAGGCATTCAGTGACCTTTGCAACAAGACTTTTGATTCCATCTACCCAGATAATTCAGTTCTAAATAAGGAAATATATATTTCCAGCAATCAACAAAAAACAATTTTTGCCCATAAATCGATTTTCAGGATTTTTTATTAAAAATCTCTCCTTTCAGCCAAAGCAAGTATTTTTTCCCTTAGTGGTTCATTTGCCAAGGCTTGCTCCCCATTGGTACTGACCTTATGAGAACACTCAGGGCACCCAAGGGGGTAACCAAGGTTGCAGGTGCAAAGGCATAGGCAGCAAAGTTTGCAGCTTCTCCTAATCCCACTGCAGAAGAAAGAACATTTGGATCAGCTTGGAGGAGAATATTAAAAGGCACGCTATTGTAAATATTTTGTACGGCAACTCTGACAGCAAATACAAACCAAAATCATTTTTCTGCACTATATAGGCACATTTTCATTTCAAAATTAGCTGCACAATTAGTAATGCTGGAAGGAAGTAAAATATTCTTCCCCTAAGTACTCCTAGAAGCTGGACAGATGCAATTCCATGGCATTTTATCAGATATTAAAGAAAAGATGGTTATTCTGCAAAGAGCTCTTAAGACCAAATGCAGTATTTGAAAGAAGGCATATGAGAAGAGCTTGTCATGAATGTGATTGCAAGGACATTTAAGTGAAGGGAATGAAAAATCAGACAATAAATCTATTTAAAACAATCTGCTTTTTGTAGATTTACAGATAGGCTGAAAGAAAAGAGCTGACTTACTTGATAGCAGTCCAGCCCACCAAATCCATTCCTTCAAATAAGAATATCCACCTTGCCCTGAAAGAGAAAAAAATAACCTTATCTTAGAGGAAACAGATCACCTTAATGTAAGAAACAAAAAGTACAGCTTCACATTTGCACTTACAAAGTACAAAAAGAGCATGTTACCTAGATGCAAAAAGAAGAATATTTGATTTTGACTGACATTTTATTAATGACTCTACTGCTTTGTGACTTGGGCTTGTAAAAAATGCTGTTTGACTAAATATACACAGAGGAGAAGTTTCAAGCAAAAGTAAAATGTTTATAAAGATTTTTGGTGAAATGTTTCAAAATGCTTTTCCAGGTCAGATCCAATAGATTCATACAGTCAACTGCAGTTTGACTCTCCTTTTACTTTAGGTTTGAAGAAATTAGAAAGAACAATGCCCCCGTGTGCATGACTTTTTTTTTTACGTATATCTAATATTCAGTACCAATTTCTTCAAATAACCAAATTCCCTGGAATAATATTTTCCAATAAAGACAACAAACAAAAGAAAAACTGCTAATGCTATGTATTTAAATCCATGCAAAGCAAATTAAGACATTAGTGCAACTGTTCTTTTTCTAGCTGTTCATCTGCTGACTTTGATGAAGGGATAGTTGTACTAACTGTAGAAACTTCTGTAATAAATGTCATTTCTACAACTCATTGTACTCACTTTAAAAAAGCTGAGCAAAACCAAAAAGCTAAACCAGCCTAAGACTTTCAATCTCAAATGAGGAGGAAGAAAGATTGAAAAAAGAGAGAGAATGGCATTTTGGAGGATAAGACAAATAAAGAATTTTATTTTGGTAACTATTTGCTCTCAGTGAGGAAATAGCACCAGCTCACTAGATTTAATATACACTGCATATTCCTTAGTCCTAAGAGTTCTGAAATCCCAGTCCCTGTAACCACACACAGAAATAATATCATATCTCCATCCCTCACCAAGACAGGACTTCTGATCACCATTAAAGTAATTTCAAACATGTGATCTGTGAGTTGAACCTTGATTTTGTCAAGTTAGAAGAGGTGTTTGTGTCCCCAGCAGGAGCAAGGATGGCACCATCACCTACCAGCTCGGGTGACTCCTCTGTCTGCCAGTTTCAAAAGTCCTTTCTTCTTCAGTATGAAACTAGAACCAATAAAGATACTGGAACCTATAGCCAAAGCCAAGCCAATGTAGAGGTGGTATTTGCTTCCAGAAGGAAGGGAAATGCTCCAGTTTGTTTCATTGCCAGCCCCCTCCATAGAGGTGAGGAGAGGAGAGTGTGATTCAGACACGTTGATGATCTGGCACCATGCCTGGCAGGAGTCAGGGCGAGAAAAAGAGAGCACAGCACCTGGGAGCAGAAAAAGGAGGACAAATGATTCACAACACAGGCCCAGCACTGGAAGAGCCCTGTTCCCACTCTGCTCACTCCTTTTTATGTCTTTGCAGAGCACCTGTAATTTCTGACTGTGCGAATAACACACAAAACCCACACAATGTACACAGTGCTGCCCTGGGCCATTACCCACTCCTGTAGCTCACAGGTGATTACATTATTTTACATCCCTATTTTGCACTTCATTGGCCAGACAGGCAATAAAGGAAATACCAAGGAATGAACCAAAAAAAAGAAATTAGCTTCAGTTAAAAATTCAACTCAAAATCTTAAAAGCTAAACTGAAACCTGAAGATGAAAGGGCTCCTTTTTGTTGTGCAGAGACCACAAACATATAGCCAAATCCATGATTTTGGACTTTGCCTGTTAAAGTCAGCCTGCTGCTATTCAAGGCTTCTGGTTTTATATCGGTAGGTAAGATTGGAAAAACAAATGGAAAAAAAGGAAGGAAAATCAAATAGAGAGGAAACTCTCACTGCATATGGGAACTAAGGCATTTTATAAAAACTGTTCAGTGAATACTGTGTGAGCCAAGTCTTATTTAACCGATCACAAAATTTTCAGGTGAAGGCCTCATTCCGCCTCCCAGCAAATTCAATCTAACCTCAGAAAGCCCTGGTGGAGGTAGATCACAGCCAACAGGGGACAGCTCCCCAGCTATCCTTGCAACCCTGCTGGAGAGCTGGGTGATCCCGAGCACAGAGCAAAGGTTCACACTCAGCCAGCCAAGCACTATCAGCACCACTGTGATGACAGTCTGTGGGAATGGCATCGTTGTAATCAGCCTAGATTTGTTTCTAAAGGAAGAGCAGGTACTGCATTTCCAAGAACAAAAGGAGTTGCTTTTTTCATGGGGAAGCAGGGGTCAGGCAGCAAAGCTGCCACAGGGCTTGGGCAGTCTAGGCTGACGTCTCAGTTTGTCACAGTGGAGTGCATCAGGCAGCCTGTGTGGATTACAGACTCTAGCCTGGAAAACTTTGAAGAACAACCTTTTTTGTAAAGAAGGCTTATTGTGAAGACATGTTAAAATATGAAACAATTTGCAGAAGTACAAAAGTTCAGTCCACTGTGATACATAGGAAGGAGGGGATCCAACAAATATGGTTTTTTCCCCATGTTTTCCCTGTAATTAAAATAATACATGAACAATTCATCCTGGAGAGTGACAGCATCAGTAATACACTCCCTCTTTTTCTTTTTTCTTCTTCCCTTTTCCAAGTGAAGAAATGGCACTTGGGGAGTTAGTAGAAAAGGATGGGCCTCTGTAAGCTCTGGAAACAAAAATGTTATACCAAAAGTACTTCACTGAACAATTAACAAGAAGCAGACTTGGATAATTCATTTAATACAGTTTAACAAAGAATAGTTAAAATACATAAGGTCCTGAAAATATCCTATTTGCTGTTGGCAATGCTGGTATTAGCTCTGGGATACAGAACCGTTTTCAAGCAAGGAGCTAGAGTGAGTACCTGCTGCCTGTTTTCTCATTCCATATTATACAACAAACATAATACAGGAAGTTATAATTTGATTTGCAGGCAGTGCAAACACACTTCCTTGTTTACCAAGAGTGTTTCCATATAACAGGAGTTGTTTTGTATTGGTAAGTCAGACTTAATAAAAATGTTCCCACAAGATAGTCATGTTCATATTCACCAGCTGAAGATTAAAATCTTAGAGAGCTTAGATCCACATGCAGTTCCTGTTGCATAGTATGTAGGAGAGACACTATTCTACACTCTTATTATTACTAGAAATTACAGTTGGATAATGTAAAAATATGGAATTAGCATTTGCACCTGAAAGTATTTTAAAATCCTAAACTATTAGCATAGTCTTAGAAGAAGAAAAATTTGCATATACTTGTTATGACAAAATTAGTGAAGAATAAATCACAAAACAAAATTACAGAAAAGTCCTTTTAGCATAACTACATTTTCTCTTTATAAACACATACCAGGGCAAGATAAAAATGCCCTGTTCATGGCATGGGGGTTGGTTTAAATAGTCTTCAAAGGTCCCTTCCAATCCAAACTATTCTATTATTCTGTGAAAAAAAACCAATGGAGAGATGAATGAAATCCCTTAGCTCCCAATACCTATACTGATGCCAAACCAGGATGGTGTGAGAAGCAGTAACATTCCTTGCCTTTAATGAAAACATGGAGATAAACACTCCTGATAAGTATAGTCCTTCAGTTTCCTGCAACAGTAAGGAACTGTAAGGCAGCTTTCTATCAGTGCATTGGGTTTCTACAGTGAAGAAAATGACAATTTTCTTCCTCCTTTTTGGTGACTGGTGTACTTTCATTTAGCTGGAGATGAATGGCAGGCTTATTTTGTTTCACATGAAACAAAATGTTTTTCTATGTGTTCTAAAGGTTTTCATTCCTTAGCATACCTTACAACATCAGAAAAATTTAATCATGCCATTTGTACTAAGTCACTCAGTGACTGCCACAGGTTGTTTCGCTCCTTTCTGAATAACAATCTTTGCCCACATTCACAAAGAAATATTGGATTTATCACTGAGAAGACTAATTTTGAATGCTTATGATCTCTGTTTATTGGGCTGAGCAGCTTCTCATGGTTAAAGAAAAAAAAAAGTCCTTTGTTCCACTTTCATGAAAAGTGGCATGTAACTGCACTGATCAAAGAACCACCTGAGAGACGGGAAGAGGAGGCTGATCCAGGAATTACTGTTATTTTATTACCCTGTGAACAGTCTGAAGATCGCTTGGAAAGGCTGAGGAAGATGACAAATCACTGAGGCTGCCTGGCTTGCTCAGCACAGAGTTTCTGTAGCTAAGCTAGTTTCACCTCCTACTTCCAAATGTCAACAAACACGAACGTGTCAGCAGAACTCCTCCTTGCAGAAATAATCTCTCCCAGCTCTGACTCAAGACTGGCAACAACAGGAAACTGGTCTGAGCCAAGGCAGTTGCTGGTGTAACTTCTGAACTTTTTTTATGATTCAGCTATTTTTTTTCTTTTTTTTCCCCCTCAAACACCTAAATATTCTCTATCTGAATTGGGCAGACCAGACACTCCGGTGCTACACACTGCTTGTGACATGCATGACTTGCTGTCACTCTGCAGTTCAGGGCTGACTTGCCTTGGTTAGTGACAGCCAACTTGGTTCTTAACCTGCTACTGAAGGTACTGGTCCTAAGTAATCTCAAAAACTAACTGCTTTGATTAGACAATAATTTAACCATTTCTAGCGAGCTCATGACTCAGCTCACCCCTGGCAGAAACATGAAACGCCTCTCTCGGTCACCCAGGAAATACCAAGCCCACCTTTGCCAAGGCGCAGCTCCTGGGTGTATCGAGAGGCAGCAAGGAATTCCCCCCTGGCACGCCTGGAGCGGAGACTCACCAAAAAGCACAGAACAAAGCTGAAAAGATGTTTTACCCCAGGCAGCCGCGGCAGAAGCGCAGGAGCTTCCTCGGCGCCGGACCCACGCCACTCCTCGGAAAACAACGGGGTGACACCAGGGCGGAGGGAAATCTTACGGGGACACCGGGGGTCCGAGCCCCGCCGGCCCTCCGCGTCCCGAGCGACGCGCACACCGAACAGACCGGGCCGGCCCCGCGGCCGCGCAGACACCGACCCGCACGGACGGACGGGCAGACGCTGACCCGCACGGCAGGACAGACGGACGGACGGACGGACAGACGCTGACCCGCACGGCAGGACAGACGGACGGACGGACGGACAGACACTGACCCGCACGGCAGGACAGACGGACGGACGGACGGGCAGACGCTGACCCGCACGGCAGGACGGACGGACGGGCAGACGCTGACCCGCACGGCAGGACAGACAGACGGACGGGCGGACGGGCAGCGCCCCTCCGGGCCCCACGGCTGCCAGGCTCCGCGGGCTCCGCCCGCCCGGGCGCGGCTCAGCGCACCTGGGCGCGCCCGCTCGCCGGCGGACACGGAGGTGGCATCCCCTCGGCCTGCGGGGAACGGGCGCGCAGGGCTCCGGGAGAGGCCCCGAGTGGGCTTCCTAGATCGGTATCGAGTCCCAGACCTGGGGAGCTCTGTGACCCCACCTGAACACTGAATCCAAAGAAGAGCGTGCTCTCCTGAAGTACCTTGGCAGCATTTGCCTCTCCTGGAGTCTCTACAGATTTAGTTTTCTTCCCTTTCGCAGCTAGGAGAAGAGATGAGCCGTCTTGATGTGCAACCACTTGTGCCTGTGACAAGCGGCCTGTGCTCGCTTTGGCCGGTGGATCTGCGGGCAAGCAGAGGGATCCCCCAGCCAAACTAGAACAAGGGCAGTGCCTGGTGATGCACACCCTGAGATGACTCCCTGTGGCTTAACAGGCTCCAGGTTGTTACAAGAAATAATTACCTTTATTACCCAAGACCTTAGTTGAATAGTTTCAACTAAGGTCTCGGATTTGACATGATTACGTGAAATACATTTACAAAATGTAAGGCTTAATAAAACATTCCATGTCGCCCAACAAATTTCTTGGGGCACTCTGCAGACCTTTAGCATGCACAAAGATTTCTCTAACTGGAGTCAAAATTGCAAATTTAACACACCTCCACAGAGCACCACAGGGATACAGGGGATTGAGATTAGAGCTGGAACTAGCCTTTGCAGCACAGTACCCAAACTAATCATCATTGGTTTTGAAAAGTTGTACCATTGGGGCATACTGCTGAAATATGTCATACACTGACATTTTCAGCAAAATAACTTGGTTTTCCTTGGCTTAGGTATCGTTGACTTTGCAGTCCTGTGGTTAAACCAAGAGACCAGTTTCAATGTCTTAGTCTCATTTTTTAATTTCTGTGTTTATTTTTTAGCATTACCAGCACTCTGTATGTTAGGAGAAAAGGAACATTGAATTTCCTTTTTGTGATTTTAGTTATCATTCCACTTTATCTTTACTGTGTCTACACTATAACAACTTCTAGGGAGGGTGGCCTGAATCCAGTGCAGGCTGCATGATAAATAGTTTGACTTCTCTGCTTTAACATTTCTAAAACAGGTTACTGCTAAAAAAACAGAGCAAAATTTTTAAATTATATTTGAAAGAGTTAAATCAAAATTTTAGAGCATAATCTGAAAGTCTGGGAGAAAACTGTGATCTTCTTGTACCACATAAGCATGCCCATAGGATAAAACCACATATATGGACAGATGCATGTCTGCAGTCTGCTTCAAATTCCTGCTTTTGTTCTGTGTCCTCTCAGATCTATCAACTCTGTTTATATCCCTGTTTCTGCAAAAATATGTCAATTTTTTGAGCTTGCTGCAATCCTGCAAGTGACTCTTGGCAGATCTGCTGAGAAGGGAGGTGGTAATATCCACAGAGCCCTGCTGGAGCAGAAGAGCAGGTGGGAGAGGGTGAGCTGCCAAAGACCACCTCTACCTCTGGCACAGCTCTTGCTGCCTTGCTGCTCACAGTTTCACTGTGGTGCAGCACCCAGAGCAAGAATACTGAGAAACAGCACAGCTAACACTTCTGTAGGTGGGCCTCTGTATCAGCCAAGTCCTTTAGCAGGCCATGGACATCAAAGTCTATTTAATTAATAAATAAAATATTTAATCTGATTTACAAATTTGTTGACAGCTGGCTGAGCATGAACCAGCGGTGTGCCCAGGTGGCTGGGAAAACCAATGGCATCCTGCCCTCTATCAGGAATAGTGTGGCCAGCAAAATTTTGTCCCCCTGAGGTTGACACTGATGAGTCCACATTGTGAATCCTGCGTTCAGTTCTGGGCCCATCACTACAAGAAGGACATTGAGGTGCTGGAGCAAGTCCAGAGAAGGGCAATGGAGCTGGTGAAGGGTCTGGAGCACAAGTGCTATGAGGAGTGGCTGAGGGAGCTGGGGGTGTCTAGCCTGGACAAAAGGAGGCTCAGGATAAACCTTACACCCCTTTACAACTGCCTGAAAGGAGGTTGTAGTTAGAAGAGGGTTGGTCTCTTGTCCCAAGTCAAAAGCACCTGGACAAGAAGAGATGGCTTCAGGTTGTGCCAGGGAGGTTTTTCTTCACTCAAAGGGTTGTCAAGCATTGGAACAAGCCACCTAAAGAAATGGTGCACACACCATCCCTGGAGGTATTCAAAAGATGTATCGATATGGTAGTGATGGGTATAGTTTAATGGTGAATGCAATAGTGTTGGGTTAAATTTGGCTTATTTATCTTAAGAATATTTTCCAACTTAATTGAAGCTATATATTTATTTTTCCTTGGCTGAAAAGCTTTAAAGGCTTCATATTTTGATATTGTAATAAACTCCAAAAAGCACTACGAGACCCTTTTTCTTCTGAGAAAAAAATGTGAAGTCACAGAAAAATTGTGACTAACAATCCAAGTCAATGGACAGATGCAAAAAACTTGCAATCCATAATATTATTACAGAAGAGAGTAGGCATATACTTCATGTGTAAATATTTCAATGATGATTAGCAGTTTTCACACTCAATTTGTTTTGAAGAACTTTGAGACAATGTCAGGAAGCAACTAACTACACAAAAGTAATTTACCAACATTGATATATTTTTCTTTATTTTGAATGGCATGTAAAAGTCAAATGGGAAAGAAAATAAAGTATTAATATACAATCTCGTTAACTGACATAAAGAGAAAAAAAAAGCCATTTTGCCATTCAAAATGACACTTACAACTGATTTAGAGCAATGCCTGGATCATGAGCAAATGCAAATCGGCACAGACCCATTTAATTCCCTGGAGCTGTGCCAGATGCAGCTAAGCACAGATCAACCTTTTGTGTATGAAGTAAAAATACGCATGTAGTAATAGTCAAAGCAATTTTGTGGCAGTTTCCATTTCTCCTAAAGAGGAATAAGTGTCTTATGAAACCCTGCTATGTCCTTCTATATTATGGCATTATTCTCCCCCCCATTAAATGTTTGGAAAATGCAAGAGAAAATTTATGTTAAGATTCTGCTACTTATGTAGTTACATAACTTCATTAACTAATATATGAAAGGTTTCATGAAACTTTCCTTAAAGCCAACAAGCACTGACTTTAATTGTTGATCTTTCATAAAAAGGGAAGCACTATCTAGCCAATTTTAGTGTTTTACATTTATAAGTCATGGTAAACCCCATTTTTGTGCCTTAATAAATCCCATCTTTACCTCTGTGTTAGCCATGAACAACTTAATTACCATAATTTGTGTATCTCTTTGGCTTTGTTATAAATTTAATCTTGAGGATTTTTTTTCTTATGTGCATAAACTTTGAGTTCCTTATGCAGTATTGAATTATATTATGGTAAATACTGAAGATGATGACAAGTTTCCCCACAATTAGAAAACCTGTTCACTACGCAGCTGGTTCAGGTGCAGACATGAAGCAAGAACTATCTCTTTTATTATTATTTAGGAAAATTGCTTGTGGCATTTTTAAATCCTGTTATCATTACTCAGCTTCCCTGCTCTGCATTACTCTGCCAGCAGTCGTTGCTACACGACAGTGTCCAAACATAAGTTCTGTTCAATACAGAGGCTACAGACAGATTCATTACCTTTCCTGGCATGTAGCCACACAACATCCAAGGCTGGATTTATTAAACCTTTTTTTATCACAGTGCACTTTCGACCTCTCTTATTGGTGGCTATGTCATATATTAATGATTTTTGTTTCATTAATATCAGGTTTTGTTTAATTAATATCAGTTTTAATTTTAATTTTTTAAAATTAATATCAGTTGAATCACTTTTTTATGTGTAAATGTTTCAGCATCGTAATTCTGTGCAACCAAGATTTCCTATGTTATTTTAACTTGAAATAAAATTCTGTGAAATAGAAGTACTGACTGTACAGAAATTCTGGAGCTTCTGTAGGGTCACTACAATTATTCTTTATCCCAATTATACCATTGAATGAAGATCTAGTATTTCCCAGAGAGTTTTCTGATAAGCCAGTCCCTCTGTTCCTTGCAGTTTCAGCCTGGGAGCTGAGGAGAGATCTCAGGGGCGAAACACCCACTGAACCTGGAAGACACAAGGATAATCTTAATGCAGGTTCATCTCAGGGCACAGAAAAAACTGCCAGGCATGGCCAGACACAGTGTGTCCACATTGCCACTTTTCAGAAGTGCTAGTCCCTGTGCAGAGTAGTCATGCAGAAACTAAGCTCTGGACCTGGAGGATGATGGTGAGAGGTTTGTGACAGTGTTTGAGCACACCGTGCAGTGCTGTGCTCTGCGCCTGAGAGCACTTAGGGTGCTTTGTGATTCCAGCCTCATCTGAACATTAGAATCCAACTCACCAGCACACATCCTAAATTGCTTCTATTTCACTCTCCATCACCCTAAAGTAAAAATACAGTACCACCTACTGGTGGAGACACTCGTGGCACTGATGGTTTTCCAGTCATCAAGCCTCATTGGGGCCAATTGAGCTTCATGACACTGAATTCTACACAAGAGCATTAGTAAGTCAGAAGCCGTGGAGTCTTCTCAGCTGCAGCACTTCCAACATGACATTAATTGCTGAAATCACATCAGCACTAGAAAAACCAGAACAATATTTGCAGAATATAAGCTGGTCAAAACTGTGATCCCAATCCCAACACTCGTCTGTTTACAGAGCTTCCACATAGTAAGCTGAAAGGCAATGTGCCATTCAAACCTGCTTATTTATAAGTCATAATACATATGTTTAATGTATCTAGTGTTTTGGTTATGGGTATCTGAAACTACATGTAGAATTAATAGGATCGAGAAGAATTACAGATGATGACAATGCAAGATGCAAAAAGAGATTATAGTTGGCCTACTAAAACAATAATCCATTAGTGCAGTCATTCTTCCATCAGCCAAGGTTACTTCACTGGAATACAGAATGACAGGAAAAATATCCATGAAAAAATATTGACAGTCAACTAATATAATTGTCAGTGGAGTCAATGACAGCTATGTAACTGGCTTTTAAAGGAGGGCAGAATTGACACC